CTCCATTTAAGCACAAATATCAAAGAAAAGTTGAAAAGAAAGCTAAAAATATTGCCCTTACCCATTATCCATGCTCACCGACCAAACCTTCCTACGCTTCCCGTCACAGCCACCCACCTCACTACTATACCCACCACCACAAATACAATCCCTTCACTACCGCAACAACCTCGGCTAGCCCTTGTCTCTCCTCTACAGTGACCACTCCTCTACGGCGACCAATCCCGTCAATTATTGATGTCCAAATTCAACCAGAGTTTTCATAAATTGCTTGTCAAAAAATGGCGTCAACAATTGCTAGCCAAATTCAACCACCCCTGAGTAGATATTTCATAAATTGAGAGCTTAGTGGTTGAATTTGGCTATGGTGGTTTCAGATCTTCAATTACTAGTCAAATTTGACCACCATGGCCTCGATTTTGGTGAGCTTGAGGTCGATGTTGGAGCGAGAATGAAGAAATTTGATGAATTCGACATCTTTCTGGATCAATTTCCATTTACTAGGGTTGTGATTAACAACAGCAGCTCGTAGCGCCTCTTCTTCTTCGAAAGTACGGGACGACGCACGGTAAAGCCGTGAAGGTGATGAGAGAGAATGGGAGGGGGGAGTTTTGAGACCATCAACGGTGAAAAAGGGAGATAAGAGTGACGATTGATGTTGCGGTTGTGTTTCAAAAATATTGTTAAAATGGTAGAGATGGGTGGATGCCATGGTTAACTAGGAGGAAGTAGGGAGGATATGGTGGTGAGTTGATGCCTGGTGAACTATGAAGAACTAAGGGATTGAATTATTGAGGTGAGAGAAAATGGGGTAGAATAACAAGGGGTATATGGTTTTAATTGTGTGTAAAAAGTAAGGGTAAATAAGTAAAAGTGTAGTGCTAAATTTGCCATAAAAAGGAAACAAGCCAAGTGAAAAGAAACTTTCCAAAAAGAAATACAGATCAAGTAATAAAAACTGGAAGAAGTATTTGTTTTGGTTTGCCCTAGTAAGTAGTATTGGCAATTTTTAGATGGAGTCATGAATAAACATATGGGAGTTCCAGAATTTGTTTCACGTAGTTTAAGAGTGTTGATTTTGTCTTTATTTTTAATACTCGTAACAATGTTTTTATTTTTATAAGTATAGGAAATTTTAAATTTTAACACCTCACAAAAACCCGAAAATGTTTTTTAACACCCTCATAAAAAAATTGATTTTAACACCACCCAAATTTCAAAAAAATTGGGTATTACCACCACTTAACTGATTCCGTTTACAAATCCGTTAAGTAGGGCCATACAGACACGTGTCGCTTTATTATTGGCCAAAAAATAATAAAAAAAATAAAAGAAAAAAGTAAAAAAAAAATTAAAAAAGTAAAACTACCCCCAGCCACCCCAGCCCCACTACCGCGCCACCACCGTCGTCCCCCAATCCACCCCCTTCCGGCGTCCGGCGTCCCAGAGAATTGCCCGGCGCCGGCGACTCCACCCCACCCCCTTTCCTCCACCTACACACCCTACCCCTTCCCTTTCCCCATTTTTGTTTCCCGACCCACAACCCCGAAACCACCCTAAACGGATTTTAGGGTTTCGTTTGGGGTGGTAGGGAATCGATTAAGGGAGGAGGAAAGGAGGGGGCGTTTCCGGGGGAAGAGGAAGGGGAGGAGGGGAGTTTAGGGTGGTGGGTCGGGAAACGAAAATAGGGAAAAGGAAGGGGCGGGGTGCGTAGGTAGAGGAAAGGGGGTGGGGTGGGGTCGTCGGCGCCGGGCGATTCTCTGGGACGCCAAACGCCGGCAGGGAGTGGGTTGGGGGACGGTGGTGGTGGCGCGGTGGTGGGGTTGGGGTGGCTGGGGGTAGTTTTAGGTTTTTTATTTTTTATTTTTTTTAAACAAATAAAATAGTGACACGTGTCAATGTGGACCACATTTAATAGAATTTTTTAACGGAAACCGTTAAGTGGTGGTAATACCAATTTTTTGGAAATTTGTATGGTGTTAATACCCTTTTTTTTTGGAGGTGTTAAAAACCATTTTTGGGTTTTTATGAGGTGTTAAAATCTAAAATAACCCTAAGTATTAATAAAATAAAGTTTAGTTTTCTGATGCAAGTTTTGTTATTTAGTTAAGTATTTTGAGTAGTCTTGCGTAATCATGTGGCAGTAATACGCCTAAGTCAATCTCTATAGTATAATTATATGTATTATACTAGTATTTTCGTAGACGGAGATTTGGGGTATTACATCCATGTCCTAAGCCCAATATAGCTAAAATACCATCCATAATCTAGCTCATCGTCATTAACCATCCATTAGTTATCATAAAGTACGTATTTACCCCTAACCTGTTCAATAAAATACAGCTTTGTCACCTAAAAGTACATTCATAAATACTCCCTCCGTTTTTAAATACTTGCTCCACTTTCCTATTTCGGTCGTTTTTAAATACTTGCTCCATTTTCTTTTTTAGAAAGTTTTTACAATATTTAATTCATTTCTCACACTTGGTGGACCCAACATAATACTTTCTCTCCTCCTATTCTTTCAATACTTTTGTTTTTTTACAACTTTTTATTTTCTCAACTACCCCACTACCTCCATATTTTATTACTTTCTCCAATTTCTCCTAAAACTCCGCGCATGGAGAAATGGAGCAAGTATTTAAAAATGGAGGGAGTAGCAAGCTAATGATTAATGATGAGGACTTTTCTAATCTCTCTCATTCTCACTCTACTTTCTCTCTCTAGAAAGTACTCTTGATCTCTTTACTTTCTCTCTCTTGAAAGTACTTTTCGGTGACTTAAGTATCGGAGGGGCTTTTTTGGGTTAACTCACGGGGCGGCTTACCTAATATGTCTTGCAGGCCTAGGGCAAATTCTTAACTACACAATAGTGTAGCTAAGCTAGCTGCAACAAGTTTAAATATATACATATAATACATAAAAATGAACATACGTATTTTTCTCTTCCTTATATTTTAACTCTATCTCTCTTCTTCTTTCTTAGCTCTATTAATTTCCTCTCTCTTCTGGTTTGTTCTCAATTCAAAATTTTTCTCTCCTCTTTTTTCCCTTTCCTTAAAAATTTACTTTATTACTTCCCTTCAATCTTTAAAATTCTTTGTCCTACTTTGGATATTCTCCAATTTGTCACCACCGTAGCATTCTCCATCGTCATCATCTTAATCGCGGTTATGAATCTTTAGGTAATTTAATATAATATTTTTTTTTTGTTTGTGTTTATGAATATGCATGTGAATGTTGTAAAATTGTTGATTTCAATCAATTTTGAATTCGTGATTAAAAATCCATCATGTTATTGATCAATAATTATTGTCTCTATGATGAATCAAGATTAGATTTAAGGTGGATATTTAAATTCTTAGAGCTAAAATAATTCCAATTGAACTTGTGTATAATTTCTGTAAAAAAAAAAAAAAAAAAAAAAAAAAACATGGAAAACTTTAAAATTGAACAAGTTTGTACAAAATGAACATTTAGTTGACTAAAAATGAACATTTAGTACACAAAAAATTGAACATTTAGTACACAAAAAATTGAACATATAGTACATAAAAATTTAACGATTTATTTTAACTAAATTTTTAGTAAATTTATTATATACAATGAGTTTGAACCTATAAATATATGAAATCATGTTAATTTTAAAAATGTTCATAATATTATTTGACGTGTTCTTTTTATTTTTTTTTTATTTTTTTTTTTACGTTTTTTTAATACTAAATTATCATTTATTTAATGTGCTCATATATTTTTACAAAATGTTCATTTTATTTGGTATAGTCTAGCTATTTTATGGTTGTATGATAAATGTTCATTTCTTCAATTTTTATTACTAAATGTTCGTTTTTTTAACGCATTCATTTTTTATTACCGAATATTCCTTTTTTTACGTGTTCATTTTTTTTTTACTAATTGTTCGTTTTTAAGGTCGTGGTCTAGCAAATATATGATTATATGGTATTCATGTTCATTTTTAATAAATGATCATTTTTTATAACATTGTTCACTTTTTAGTATTACATGTTCATTTTTTTACATGTTCATTTTTTATTATTAGATGTTCATTTTTTATTATTAGATGTTCATTTTATACTAAATGTTTATTTTATAGAATGTGGAGTTGATTTTGGCGGGTCATGAATATATTATCTGGGTTATTTAATTTGGGCTAATTCCATATTTTCTTTGTATATTAATTATCATGTAATCCCGTGATCTTTTTTCTAAAAAATAAAAAAATAAAAAATAAAAACAGGATTATGAAAGTTGATGATAACAATATTCTTTTATAACCTCCTTATTTATTTATTTATTTATTAAAGTAAGAGGAGAGACCCTAATGAACCGACACATCTCATAGGTTAAGCCAACCTCGCTCCGTAGGTCAGCGCTTGAGAGTAGAGGAGGGAAGGTAAAAGAATCCCCCACTCCCAAGCAATTTGTAGTTAGTGGGGCTCAAACTTGTGACCTCAAAGTTATAAGATGAGTTCCCCACCAACTCCACCAAACTTTGCTTGGTTATATAACCTCCTTTATTGATTATTGATTTTTATATCTAAATAACATTTGTACTACTACTAAACTGGTACAGTTTAATCTAATCTAATAATAACCTCCTAAGCATGTTAGGGTATTTCGGATATATCAAGATGTCTTAGAGCCTATGTCCAATTATCCCTGAGCTCCGCCTTACAAAGGTATGTTGGAGAGCTCCGCCTTAACGTCTAAGGGCTCATCTAGCAAGAAAGGAGCAAATCACACTTTCTAGAGAGAGACAATAGAAAAAGTTACCATCATTAATGATTGGAGAGCTATTTATAGTTGTACTTTCAGGTGTCAAAACTGTACATTAGTGGATAGATTAGGGGTAAATCCGTATTTTGTGATGATTAATAATGGGCTAGATTATGGAGGGGTACTATCATCACTTAAGTTCACTTGGCTTAGGATATGAACTAGGCCCAAACAAACAGCATATGCATTTAGATAATCTTGCCAAACAAAGTAAAGCTCCTTTTTCCATTTCAAATCAGTAAAACAATAAAATTTAACACATAAAATGTTTGATTATGTATATCTATACACTTAATCAGAAATATAAAATCAATAAAAGTCATCATAATTTTGATAATCAGTACAATCCTACAATTTTCAACATTGCAACAAGTCAATAACTTTTATCTTTCATTCATAGCAGTCTAGCAGAAGCAATATTTACATCTACCCTATTCTCCTCTTCCTCGGTGTTGAGAACTTGAAAGGAATAGGAAGGATAGCAACGATCACTGTATTTCTTCTTGCAAACTTACAGCCCAAATTCTCGAAATAAGGTCTGACTCAAAGCAGACATCTTCAGATCCTTGGCAATATCAGTATAACCAGTCTGAAGCTCATGACCAATAAGGTGAGAACCAGCACATAGCTGATGAACGAGCCTATTTTGTCATCCGCGAATCGCGATCCTGTTTTTATCTGAATCGACAAACATTTTGTTGAACATCGGTAACAGGATTCTTGAGAGATACTTTTGATTCTTGGAAGATTGCCGCTGCCACCAGCAGAATACCGATTCTTGAAGTTTATGAGTTGAGAAATATATGACAAGATGCCAGCAAACCTTTTCAATGCTTAATCCTGCAGCATCAAGAATAGAAAATAACATACATACTTCGTACATATCTATGGGAAAAATAACAGTATTCAGGTAAAATAATGTGTATTGGATTCAAGATCAATGATATTAGAAAGAGTATTAGGGCAATGAGATCTAGATTCTAGACAGAACAGTTAGGCAGCGAGAATTAGGCATGAGATGCACAAAAAAGCACAGAGGTACCAAAACACTAGCCACGATCAGACAGTATGACCGAGAAATACTATGCCAGAGTTTGCCATCTTATTACACAACAAACCCAAAGATGTATACACACTTTTTACTACATTTTCCACTACAGATTGACAATATAACCCAAGTTCATTATCATTTGCTCTTATGTCTGAATCCAAAAAAACTCACTGAGAGCAACCAACCCCCCCTCCCCCCCCCCCCCCCCAAACCCCACCCCTAAAGACACACACAAATATAAAGGCTGGCAGAATTAGCTCACCTACTTCCCTTTATTTTTCCTTATCTACCTTCTGCTATTGTTTTACTTAAGCAAACAAAAGCACATACCAATTTCAACTCCTTTCCAACACACAATTCTCTTGTAGCAAGATGTAGATGAAGCCTTGATTATCAATACCAGTTCCAAAAAGAACAAAACTTATAGAATGTGTACGATGACAATGTAATGTTTACATGGCATCTCAGGGCCTCAGGGGAAAAGATGTCAAACATACAAGACAGAGTAAAAACAATCAACTTCTCAGCCTATCTACATCTATGTTCTTTTCCCTATACAAATAAAATATTAGGAAAAAGAAGTTCTAATAACTGTAATAAGGTTACCCACTTTCAATTTACAACTGCATCAAGTTCAAATAATTAAATTCTAGGTTAAAATAAAAGTCATCTTAAAAAGTAAATTCACCTTTTTAATTCCACTTTGTAACATCGATTGCACACGAAACCTGGAAAAACATCTAGTTTTATCTCCTACCTAGGTTGCAACAGCTCCAAAATGTCTGTCAAGTAATTTCATTCTCCTTTGAGAATAATTTTATCAAGCAGATAAGCCTTCTCTGGTGCCGTAGCAGAGAGATCATGTGGGGGAACATTGTAGCAAGTGTCCAAACTGGAACTTGCAATTGCTGTCTTGTCTAAAGGAGTTACCTCTTAGATATGGCTTATGGCTCATGGCTTATCTCTGGCATGGCATCAGAATCCACCTTTTGACTTAAGCGCATTGCTTCCTTGTCCTGCAACAGAGACATCTAATTCCAAATCAAATCTGATCTAGATTATACATATGTTCTAAACTTTATTATATACAGTCCAATACATGTGACCACTAATTTTGGAAATTTCTCACTCTCTTATCATTAATCTGAATAGCTACATATAACATATTACTAAATTACACTTGACAGTTGTTTATCTTTGAATAATCCATAAGTAAATGTAGCAATAAGCATTTCTTCACTTGACGAGTTAATTATTTAGCCCTCTGCCCAAACAGTACAAACATACCTCAAGATGCCCCATACAACAACAACAACAACAACAACAACAACAACAACAACAACAACAACAACAACAACAGCAACAACAAAGCCTTTGTCCCAAAATGATTTGGGGTCAGCTAACATGAATCGTCATAAGAAATCGTACGATTTAAGGAAAAGATGTAACAAAATCATCATTTAAAAGAGTTTGCAAAAAGGTGAGTAAAGTGAGTAAATGAAAGAGCATTTAAGAAGAAGTAAGGGAGTTTTGAAGAAAACTAAGAATAAAATTGAAGAAAGTTTAAAAGAGTGGTTTAGTTGAAAACATAAAGGTTTGAGAAAACTTCAGCAAAGAAAACAATACAGTTCATAAAACATTGGTGGGCTAAAATAAAATTATACAAGGAAATAAATTTAGAAAGTATATATAATCACGACACATCGTTGACGTGAATTTTCCCCCTCCACACCACCCTATCTAACACCATATATACCTCAATTCCCAAAGCACTCATATCACTCTCAATCACCCTCTTCCAAGTTTTCTTAAGTCTTCCCGTACCTCTCGTGATCTTAACACTTTGCAATTCTTCAAGCCTCCTTACCGGAGCGTCACTTGGTCTCTTTTTTACATGGTCAACCCATCTTAAACGATTCTCTCTCATCTTGTACTCAATCGATGTAACCCCTACTTTCTTCCTTATTATCTCATTCCTCAACCAATCTTTTCTTGTATGCACACATCCATCGCAACATACGCATCTCCGCCACACTCATCTTATGCACGTGGCAATACTTTACGGCCCAACATTCTACACCATAAACAAAGCATGCCTTATGGTAGAATTTTCCCTTTAATCTATGGGGTACGCCTGGATCACATAAAAAAACTCGCCGCACTCTTCCACTACAACCAACCCACTTTGATACTATGAGCTACATCTCCATCCAATTCTCCATCCTTTGAGTAATGATCCCACATAACATAACATCCAATTCTCCATCCATTTCAATCAAGATGCCCACTTCATTAAACATGTATTGTGTTAAAACTGAATAGACCTATTCAAAAGTTATACTACCTCTGCTTCGCATTACTCGCAACAAACGAATATTTTATATCTCACAAATAATACCCCTTTGTTGCGAGTAATACGAAACGGAGGTAGTATTATAACATAATGCAGAAAAACAAATGGCCGCTGATCTAGATATCTCATTATCAGTTAAGAAGCCAAAGATCAAAGAAAAATGGTTCTCTACATGGTATCACATATTCACATCACATGCCTTTGGTTCCTAAGATCCTAATGCCAAAGATGAGAATCAAACCTTCTTTATAGTACCCTTGGTACCACAACAGTCAGTAAGGTTGTTCCTTTTGAGTCTTCTATCTTCAGCATCATCAATAATCTTGGCTGGAGCTTTTGGTTCCTTTTCAGATACACGCGACTGTAAACACCCATTTGTGTCTCCCCAAAACCAAACCCAGTGATGAGTACCTTTCACGTCGAATCATAATCGAATGAAACGAAAGTGTGGAAAGGTCTAGTGTTGCGGAAAGTTTTTATTTCTTTTCTTTTCTCTTCTCCCTATTTTTGAAAACTTTATTTTAAGAAAACAGCCAATCTAGTTTGGTTGGTCCATGATATGGGTCCAATAGTAGTGTAGTTGGATGGGGTTTGCAAAGACCTTTCCAACGATATATTATAAGCCCAATTCCGATGAATATTGAGGAAGTTATGGCCAATTTACTAAACTGGGCCCGGTTTGAGCATTATGTACGGCCCAATGATCTAGGGGAGGGCCTAATATGATTTATCATTCCTAATGCAATTAGGAATGGTTTTCGTCTTCTAGAAGGTTCTTTTCATTCCTAATTCAATTAGCATTGATAAGTTGACTTTGTTGACTTTTCAGAGTTTTAATCAAAATCAAATAGCATTTTCGAAGAAATTATATTATTTTATCTTCCAGTACGGTAAACTTATAAGATTTTTGAAAACGCGTTGAAATTCAGTTTGGCGTCCAACCCCGGGCCTTGGAGCCTGGAACCAGGCTTGGCGCCAAGCGCTAGCCATTGGCGCCTGGCGCTAGCCACTGGTGCCTGGCGCCAGCTAGCCAGGGTTGGCGCCAATCCTGTTTTGCGAGTGTCAGACTCTGTTTTGTTAAATTATCTTTTTTGGTTGATTTTCTCTATAAATATCGTATCAAAAACTCCGTTTTCATTCATCTACAATCATTATTCATCTACGATCATCATCTACATCTATCATTCACCAAATCTCTTCATTCATCAATTCTCAACAATCATTAATTCTTTAGCATTCTTTAATTTCTTCAATTCTTTCTTATTTTTTCATACAAAATTCCACATTCACAAGATCTAGAAACACCTAGCCATATTCGAAGTTGCCTTCGCCCCAGACGTGAAAGGTTTAATCTGAGGGTTTGGTCCCAAATCTCTCTTTCAATCATTTAATTTAATTGTTTGATTATTATTTTCCTTGAAGTTACTAACGTGTGTGTTTTGTTATTAGAAAGAGATACGAGACATCAAAGTAAGTACTTTAATTGATTTATTGATATTATGATGTAGACACCATGTTTATATTGTTATTATGATTCCTAGTATCATGTCTAGGGTATTTTTAATATATTAAATATGATTGTTACGATGCTTCCTATGTTCTTCCTAATATTAATTCATGTTAGTATCATGTTAGGGCTAAAGACTTGATTTTTATTGCTTAGTGACATGCTAGGGTTTGTTATTAATCTGGTTAGTATCATGCCTAGGATCTTACTTTTATTATGCTTTAACATGAATATTGTTATAATTATAATTATTATTGATTATTATTATTGTTGCTTGATATTTATTGTTTGATCACACCTTTATTACATGTTTAAAGGGAATTTGTACTTGTAATCACGCTTAATAAGATAATTAATAATCTTGTTAGGGTTAATTGTGATTATAATTCAAGTGATCGCCAATAATAGATTTATTTGTGCATTAATATTCAACCAACATAGATTAAACAGGTTTAGGGTTAATCCTATTGATTGCATGTTAATCAGAAAGCGCACATGAATACGATCAGAATAAAGTAGAGGCCTATTATTAGGGCAGGTTCAATCTCTTTTAGGTTGGATTTGTACCTTCATCCTCGAACCCTTATTCGGTTCATGACCTTATGGAGTTGACGATCTCTTGGACCGTTAAGGGGTGTAACCTTCACCTCGTGAACGGTTTACAAGTTCCTTAAAAACTTGTTGGCGACTCTTTTGCTCTATCTTCTTCCCTTTTGGACGCCACCGTACTTTAGTGTATGATCACAGTGGGGTTCAAGCTAGTGGGATTTTAAAGGCTTGAAACCATTCCCCACAGCGACGCTCTAGCTAATGGTTGTAACATGAATATCTGAACATTGTCAACAACAAGGTCCATGTTAGGAAAAGGATTCTAGCTCAAATAGGTGTCTACTTAAAAACTTGCCTGAAGTTCATAATCTCAAAAACACATGAGTGGAAGGTTTAAAATCGTAGTAAATTATCCCAACAAATTGTCACTCTAATGACAACAATCCAATGGAACATTATGCTATTCCTTTTTTTTTCTGCATATCTATATAACAGGGAATGTCATGAATGAATTCTGGAACGCATGATAACTAGTCCAGTTGATGAAAAAATGACACTAATAATGAAATAAATAAGCATAAAAATAAGAATCTTCCATTTCCTAAAGTTGTTCTGAAATGACCACACAATGACACAAGCACAAATCAGTTTCAATTTCATAGATATCAATCCAACAAAAACAAATTTCAACCAGTTGTAATCCCCTTTCTCAACTAACTAAACCAACAAAAAATCAACATTCCTTGGTTGAGAGCAATTAACATAAGCAATTACCAAATGTCACAAATAAACTCATGTAAAATGTACCACAATTAAAATAATAAAACCATGGATGCCAACTAGCTTAATCAGCAATAAATTACATATTTACATGGGATCAATTTACAAGAAACAAACATGAAAAAAGTGAAGGGAAACATACCCAATTAGCAGTAATGGGAAACAATCTAAAAGACTGAGAAGTTTTCTCAAGAACCCCAAGAACATAACTATTCATCCTACTAACAGCAGCAAACCCAAATAATCAACTTTAGACCCATTTGGATTAGCAACAAATTCAACTCTTCCAACCCTTTTCTGGTCCCTGTAAACCCTAGATTGCTTGATTCTGATTTTTTACAGTTTAATGGGTCAAACCCAGATGGGAAGTACCCAAAATTTGGTGCATTTTTCTCAGGTGTTTCTTAAACATCTGGATTAAGGCAGAAAGGTCCAACTTCATTGTTCTTCCTAATATTAAAGTGTTATAAACAAAATTCAGCAAAACATAAGCAACCAATTTTAACTCAATCATCAAAATTAGGCTTTATAAATCGCATAAAAATTGTTCACAAAGTATGCAGTAGAAAAATTCTAGCAACAATATCGCTCGTTATCAATCTTGAGTAATTATAACGAAATAGTTCAATAGTACAACTTAGAAGAAAACTAAACCGACTATACCTCAGAATCTGTTTCTATGGAGAGAGAAAGCTCAATAGCCGCTTCAATAGAGAATTCATAGTACGCTTCAATGGAGGAGACAGAGGGGGGAATATTATTGAGGAGCCCAGTCATCGAGCCCACTAGAGAGAGAAACAAACTGGAGAGCGAAAACGGGTGATTTGGTTAGTTTGAAACTTTGAATGTGTGAGGGTCAGGTGGGTCAAATTGGAGAGTCACACTAGTCACAGTCCCCAACTCCCTATATGGCCGGCTATATGTATGCATTTTTTTTTTGTACTCCCCTCGTTTTTAAATACTTATTTTATTTCTTCGTGCGGTGTTTTAGGATAAATTGAAAAAAGTAATAAAATAGGAAGGTAGTGGGGTAGGTGAAAAAATAAAAAATTGTAAAAAACTGTAACACCCTAGAAATTCTTTTCTTTCAAATACTCATGCTACTCTTTTAAAAATACGATTTAGGAATAACTAAGACATTACCGCCACCGTGAAAACAGCTAAGGTAATTATCAAAGATATACAGCGAAAGACTAAAAATTTAAACCGATTAAACAAGTCAACCCAAAGGCAACCAAACAAAAAAATAAAGTTTAAAACCAACGAACAAGTCAAATAATTTCAAATTACAACTTGGAACCATCAAGGCCCTTATTCAAAAACCGTTCCCAAATCAACCCTTATGTTAGTCCACACATAATATATCATAAATAAATAAATAAAGCATAAAACACATTGTAATCTAATGGAAACTAATACTCCCTCCGTCCCAAATTACTTGCAACGGTTTGACTTTTTGCACTATTCACACATCTCCCTTTGACCATCATTTTTAACTATTATATGAAAGTCAATGTAATCATGTAAGATGTTGTTGGGTCTATTTTAATGTATAGTTTCTTAATATAAACTTTTTATAACTTATATAAATTTATAATAAAAGATATCAACGGTCAAACATGTGCATCGGCAAGCGTGTCCAGTCAAACTGCTGCAAGTAAACTGGGACGGAGGGAGTAGGATTCACTCTTCACTCATGCCTGATCATGCTTCAATACCTGAAAAGTTTGTCTCTACTTGCTTCCACTACTCTCCATTAAAAATGGGTCATCATAGGGCCAAGGTAAATACATGGCCAAAAACACAAACACAGACAATCAGCAAAGCTGAGTACATAAGCGTAAAATAGCCACACTAACATGCTTTCACCTATCACCATACACTTACCTCATTGCACCTGTTCACAAATACCAATCAACACAATACAATGACTAGACCCTAATTAATTCATTTTGCATTGATTACGCATCGAACGGGTTTCCACCTATTAACCTCCCCCAAATAAATTTGAGGTTAACTGGCACGGGAGCTAACCGTGCCAGCGACAAACCACACAAAGGTGGCGGAATTCCGCGTCCTGTACTCCATTGGAAGTTATGGTTAAATATAAAACTCCATAACCCCCCTATTGTTCATACTCAAGGTATATACGTTCCAAGAGTTTTGGTGCGTAATCTCTTTCACTTTACGTTATTTACATTTTATTAGACTTGGTGATGACTCTCAAAGCATAATAAATCAATCAACAATAATTATTCAATCAAACCAACATACCAATTTAATTCTTGAATAATTAGTGACCACATATTATTTAATGTTGAACCCTTTTTAATTCTACCTCAGTGTCAAAGACACCTTAAACGCATAATGCGCCAAAAATCCTATCCCTCGGTGTTAAAAACACCTTAAGTGCACAAAGGCACTAACATACCATTTATTCCTCGTGTACCTAGACACTTATATAGTTCTTCCCTCATGCTTAAAGCATCAATAAAAATTATTTGAACCATAATAAAATTCCTTTTTAATAATCCAAACATAATTAAACATGTAGTTTAATTAATCATGCCTTCTAACATGCCATAAATAAAAATGTGGT